ATAAAAAAAAAAAAAAAAAAAAAGAATCTAAATATAATCTCCCAGGGCCTGAGCATTGGAATTTTTTCAGACCAGGGACAGTCTTGCACACTCACTTCCTGTTGTGTGCTCATGCCAAATGGCCAAGAATGCAATTGTGGGTATTAGAACAAGCCCACTAACATATATTTGCAAAAATGTTACTAAAGCCCATTTGTGTAGTTAACGTACCCTATACTGATAATGACTACATGCAGCTGATAACTGGACTTTCAATGAATAATGACTTATTAAATGTGTAGCAGACGGAGGTACCCATGCAAAAATAAAAACGCCATCAACACGTGAGACTAAAATAATGCTAATGCCATTTTCACTAAAGAAAGCAAAATTATGGATAGAAGACTCCTATTTTAACTGCTTTAACAGTTTGAAACGAAAAATGTCTTTGATGGATTTATATATATATTTTTAAACAAACTTTTCACTTCACAACAGAGCTTTTATCAGCAGTATGAGCTCTCATTCTGACGGCACCCATTCACTGCAGAGGATCCATTGGTGAGCAAGTGATGTGTTACATTTCCTCAAATTTGTTCCAATAAAGAAACAAACTCACCTGCATCTTGGATGTCTTGAGCATGATACATTTTCAGCAAATTTCCATTTTATGGGTTAACTATTCCTTTAACTATTAACTAAATAACATAAAATGTGGCATAAAACAAGTGCACGACGATTTAAAAGATGTAATTGTACCGTTTTTCTTTAGGTGACTCGTATTTACTTAATAAAGCATAATTGTAACTAAAAAAAACAAACAAAAAACAAACATCTGTTGCCTTGTTGAATGTTGACTTAATTCACGTTCATCTTTCAGTTTCATATTATCTTTGCGCTTTCTCATTTGTGCACTATTGTCTTATTATCTATTCCAACTTGTATAGCCACTACTGCAGGAAAAAACTACTCCAGCCATCCAGCCATCCAGCCAATGGAGGACGGCGGGGCGGAGAACGCTCTGCAATTGAACTAAAGGACCGCAGGCAGCTGTACACGAGCATCCTCTATTCTCCACACGCGCCCACATCACACAGTCAATGGATTACACCTTCTCTCTCCAAGTGCAACACCATCTGACCGTGTACCCAACGCATTTATACGAGGACTACAGTTTAGAGTTACAGGTATGTTGTTAAAAATGAAGTCAAAGTCTTTGCTACTTTGTTTAGCGGTGATGAGCGCGGCTCCAAACTAACCCTTCTGTCGACACTGTTGGATATACTTGTCAAACGCATGAGCAACATTAGAAAATCGGATTATATGGTGGTGTTGTACTTTCTCAGATTTGATGCTGCTGTGACGTGCGAAAAGCCCGTTTTAGCGCGAGCGATGAATGTGAACGCGTGCTGTGATGTTTACATGATAAGGGACACAGGAGCTGTAATTACATTTCATAGTATCACACTTGGTGTTTAATTTGAGAGACCTCAACAGTAACATTTTCGTGTGATCTTTGTTGTTCCAAGAAGCAATGATGACCCCGAAAAAGGTACATTTCGGTGGCACGAGGCACTGTTGACAGATTGCTCTCGGTTTCGTCAATCTCACAGCTGTTTCATTTACTGCAAACGATCAATTATGTATCACTGTACAGTCCTGAGAACCCCGCTGATGCGGGCAGCGTCAATTTTCAGTCAAATGCGCTTTGATCGTCGTTTTCACCTGTTGTGATCTGTGTAATTTCCTGAGACAGTAGTGCTAACCCTTGAACATATTAGGATTTAGTGTAGTGCCCTGGGCAATTGAGGGATTATTACCTGTCCTATCTAGCCACAAGAACGACCGATTGATTTAGACTTATAGTATGAAATTTGCAGTCCTATGTACCAGGAAACAACATTTTGCTAAGTATGTTAGATTAGCCTAGTATAATGAGTATTATTTATTTTCAGAATTCTTGTTGACTGAATGATCTTGCTTAAGTAGGTTTTCTCTACATTTAGGGTACAGGCTGTTCTGTACAGTGCATTGAATAAACAAAGAAAAGAAGCGGAATGTTTCATAACTTTTTCATTTTTACAGTCTTTGTAAGTTTAGTGGACACAATCCATAAAATCACTATGCCCACATAAGTAATCAAAGTTATTTTAATGCATGTGTTTTTTCATAATGAATTTTGCAATATTAACCCTGTTATTTTCCTGTTCATTACTATGAAGCTGCTTTGAAACTGTTTGTATTGTATAAAGCATTATATAAATAAATGTGACTTGACTTGCTTTGAGGAACTGAAGAGCAACCATTTGTATTAATTTTATTTTTCTAATCATTGTTATTAACATAATAATACATATGCAATCATTTTCCTTTTTATTATATTACATATAAGTATTTAACCATTTGTTTAAGCAGCACCTGAAACTTATAGGGACAGACTCATTTTAAATGCTTAAACTTTAAGCCTTTGAAATGAGTCTGTCCCTTTAAAGTTTCTCCTCCAGGTGCTGCTTAGATCATCTTTGTGCGGAACAATGGTAGCATTAATATTCTCTTTCATATTCCTTCGAATGCAAATACATGACACAAAAGCAGATTTTTGTAATAAGTGGCTTACCTCTTCTTTAACCCTGGATATGTACTTTGTCCACCCAAGACTTCAGATTACATTTGCTGTAGTTGGTGAAGAGCCAAATCTCATTCTTTTAGTTTAAACTTGTCTATTTGTCTATATTAAATTCTAGAATTATCATTTAGGATTATAGATGAAAAATACGTTTTTATTTTTAGCCATTCATTAGTGTACCGTCTAACAAGCTGGGCTAATAAACAGTTGTTAGGAGAGAGCAGAGTGAGAGTAAGATGTGAATTATTGATGTTTCCTTGACACTGTTTTTCTTGTGCAGAGAAAAGAGGCTCATCTTTAATTTCTATTATTATGGCGTGTTTATTAATTAAGGTTCTCTGCCTGCTAGCTAGCCAGTGGAAAACCGTATAAAGAGAGAAAGAAATGCCAGATATGACAGCATCACTGTTCATTCATTATAGATGCATCATGGTCTGAACTGTCCCGCTGTAGTGTGGTTTTCAGTGATAAGGGAGTAGAACAACTTCAAAGTTTGCTCATTTGAACATTATTTCCTGTCAGCATTCACACGTGAGCCTCCCTGCCTCATGCCATGTTTTTAAAATTAAGCCATTTTCTCAGTATTAGGGGCAGTGAAATTGGTTGGTATGTTTAAATTGTCAGAGGAAATCATCCGTGCACCACAAGGTGGCTCTGTTAGTGTAGAATCACCTCAGAATTACCTCTGGTTGGATCCTGACTCCACTGACTCCTGTGCAAAGCCTGCCATATTACAGTTGCACTTTCTGTTGAGGTTCATCTTTGTGGACTGTCCTATTCACATCAGAATTTGTGATAAAATCGCAATAATTGAGATTTCAAAAGAGCTGATGTTCAGATCATGCTGTATATAGCACATATATTTTATAATAAAGAGCAGTTGAACTCTTCGAGACATACTTTTTTATTCTCTTATTCTAACATTCATAAGTGCCGTCTCCATAACCACAGCATCATAATTCGTCTCTCAGGACTTCTGAGGCAGAAGTGACAGCCCATTGCCTCTCCAAAACTGTGTTTCCATTGGGAGGGACAAAGCCCACACTTATGGAGAGGAAAATGCCTTGCCAAAGCCCAGGGATATGATATGATATTATCTTTCACTATCTCCATTTCTGCTCACAGGAATTAAGTAGCAAAGCTGAGGTTTAGACTCCCAGGCCAGCAATATTTCTACAGCAAGACTTACAGCAATACTAGCAATCGTCAATGCACCATGAATACATATGCTGACTGAAAACCTCCTAAAATGCCAGACATGTTTTTATTTATTGAAAATATGGTGTTATCCAGTCATTTATTTTATAAAATAAGGTTGAAAAATTCAGTTGTTGTCCAAACATACCTCTTACATCAAATCTTATTATATTGTTTATCAACAGTATAAGGGTTATTAGCTTTGAAGGAGTGAGGAAGGTTGATTCTCTGTGTCCTTTATTTGAACCCTTCCTTCATTTTATCAGATGTTGTTGGAGTCCGTGGGGTCCTAGTGTGATGAAGAAAATGAGTTTTCTAATTTAATCGAATTTATAATAAGTGGTCCACATAAAAAGCACTATTTTAGTGTAAGACATGTTTGTCGTGTGGTTTCACACTGAGGGTGTATATTGTAAACTGAAAGCACCCTGCAGATTAAAGGTGCAAAAAAGGTAGCTCCAAATTAAATGGCACATTTCATAACCGATGGCGACGTTCAAGGTTGATTTTTGTGCTCACACCCAGTGAATGCATTGTCGGTTTGAGAACCTTGTAGTACATGTTCTGAACTCCTTTCCAGTGAATAAGTAAGTATTGCAAAACATGATTTGTGTAGAATTAAATCAAAAAGTTACATTTTACCTTGCTATGTCCTCTTGCTTTGGCCTAGGCTGATTCATAATTCAGGTATGAAAGAGGCGAGTACTCTTCCACCTCAGTTACATTATAGCATTGGAATGGTGTTTCCATATTATGTTGTGGAAACTGGATAAAGATTCAGGTTTATACTGATGTATGATAAAATGATTTATTGCAAAAGCGCATAGTTGAATTTTTTTTTGTCTAGTTTGAGTGTAATTGCTAGACTAAAAATAATTTTTAGAAGTTGTAAAACAAAGATTTTTGGCAAATGATTTACAAGAAAAGACTCTTTCTGTCCATGTGCTTCAGATGTGTGCGCTCAGAAAACCGTATATCAGAAGTTTAAACTCGTATGGTTTAAAACGCATGATTTCAGCGCGATAAACATGATAACATGATAACATTTTTTACATTACAGCAGGGGTTTTCAAAGTTTTTCAGGCTGAGGAACCCTTAGTTCAGTGGTTCTCAACCTACAACTATCCAAAGCCTACTTAATATGAATATGTTTTAATTGCAATTTCTAGCTGTAAAACTTTTAAAGCTTGGCATATCTAAAAAAGATATATTCATTATAAAAATGCACATGGCGTTTAAAGATTTTCATGAATGTACAATTTACATTTCCAGGTCTTCAAATCACACTTTTAAAATGAATTAAAATTGAAATGATTTAAAGTCATCTCGATGCCCCTTAGTGGGCCCCATCCCACTGGTTGAGAACCACTGCCTATAATATAGGGAAGCAATGATATTCGAATTCTGGTTGATACAATAAGCTGATAATTATTTTTGTGTACCATTATTTCCTTTTTTTCACAAAATTAATTTGAGATAATTGGCAGACACCCTGCAGCATTGCCACGGACCCCCAAATTCTCATGCATTTTTTTTGCTCACATGATGCCCATCTGAATGTTGCATGTCTTCCAATTAAAGTGATAGAACGGGATAATGATGTTTGACCTTCAGCTAGCCACAGGGAAGAAGCAATGTTTTTGCTTTGAGAAATAAAATGAAATAACATTGAAGAAGTAGCAAGTTCGCAAAGGTGAGAAGGGAAATAAGTGCTTAAAATGTCATATGTGATCGGTTCTATTGTAAGTTGATTTCAAATAGGCCTAGCTCACCAACACCACATTTAAATTAGTTAGATGCTGGGTTATTGTAGCATGACCAAATTATTACATAAAGCCATCTTAATGGCCCCCCTTTTATTATTACATAAAGCCATCTTACTGACCCCCCTTCTCAATTCAAGATATGAGGGTAAATAAATAAATAATCTGCGAATATCTGCACGATTGCAAATGTTACACTTATTTTATACAACAGTTCAATAAACAATACGTTTATTTTGTGTTACATTTTTGACACAATATTATCAGTATTGTCTGTTTTTGTGCAGTTTTGCCAGCAAAAATATTATCTATAAAGCCACAGCAGAACTGTTGTGCGTCTCCGATCAACATGAGAAGGGAAATAAGTGCTTAAAATGTCATATGTGATCGGTTCTATTGTAAGTTGATTTCAAATAGGCCTAGCTCACCAACACCACATTTAAATTAGTTAGATGCTGGGTTATTGTAGCATGACCAAATTATTACATAAAGCCATCTTAATGGCCCCCCTTTTATTATTACATAAAGCCATCTTACTGACCCCCCTTCTCAATTCAAGATATGAGGGTAAATAAATAAATAATCTGCGAATATCTGCACG